GAGTGTATGTGTGTATGTATACATATATACATATATATATACAGTATATATATATATATATATATATATATATATATATATATATATATATATATATATATATATATATGTATGTATATATTCTTATATTAAGAAAGTGGTAAAGAGTGAGGGAGAGGGGGAGGGAAGGAGGGAGGGAGGGAGCGAGGGAGGGAGAATGAGGGACGGAGAGAGGGAGTGAGGTAGGCAGAGAGACAGAGAGAGATTTATGTATACATTCATACTTACATATATATGAATAAACTTATATATAAAAAGATATATATGTATATATATATATATATATATATATGTATATGTATTTTCCACGAATATATTATATATACCCGTACGTGTACATTGTATGTGTGTGTTTATATATACACACATAAACAAACACGCACACACACATACATATGTATATATATACATATATATATATATATATATATATATATATATATATATATATATACATACATATATATATATATATATATATATATATATATATATATATATATGCATATATATATATATATATATATATATATATATATATATATATATATATATATATATATATATATTTGTGTGTGTGTATGCGTATGTGTATGTGTATGTGTTTGTGTTTGTGTACTAAGGGAGGGAGGTAGATATTCATATATTCATGCTTACATATATATGAATAAACTTAAATAAATATATATATACGTATTTTTTCATGAATGTATTTACATATACTCGTACGTGCACACTGTATGTGTGTGTATATATATATATATATATATATATATATATATATATATATATATATATATGCATGTATATATATATATATATATATATATATATATATATATATATATATATATATATATATATTTATATATATACATATATATATATATATATATATATATATATATATATATATATATATACATATATGTATATATATGTATATATATACATATATGTATATATGTGTGTGTGTGTGTGTATATATATATATATATATATATATATATATATATATATATATAGAGAGAGAGAGAGAGAGAGAGAGAGAGAGAGAGAGAGAGAGAGAGAGAGAGGGAGTTATGTGTGTGTGTGTGTGTGTATGTGTGTGTGTGTGTGTGTGTAGTGTGTTTGTATATATATGTCTACACACACACACACACACACACACACACACACACACACACACACACATATATATATATATATATAACCTAGCCACTGGGGGCGGCAAGCCAGCCCAACTCAGCGCTGGATAAATAGATGCTAAAGCATCTATGTATATGAGTCCTACACGTACTGAGAGAAATGCTAGGACGTCACCCGTAAGCGACCCACAGACACCAGCGAGGGTGCGGCCAAAGAGGCTAGCTCAAAATATGAGATTTTGAACACTGAAAGTTGGAACTATAACTGGCAGAGGCCAGTCATAGAAAATGGAAAAGAGAACGGTTGATATTATGTGTGCCCGGGAGACAAGATGGTCAGGGAATAAGGCAAAGGAATTAGGTGATGATTATAAGCTAATATATAGTGGCGCAAATAAAGAAGATAGAAACGGAGTCGGAATAATATTATCTCAATAAATGAAAAACCTGGGCAGGAGGTGCACAGGAAGAGTTATCGCATAATCTGGATGAGAGTAGCCTCAAATGAATTTACAATAAATGTGCTGAGTGTTTATTCACCTCAAAGTGGATGTCTAGATAAAAAGAAGGTGCGTTTTTGGGGGAAAAAATGTGAGAGGAAATGGTAAAAGTCGAAGAAAATGAGAAGTGTATTGTGGGTGGTTGAGGAAACGATGTCATTAGCCGAATACATGGAGGGAATAGTTTTGGTGAAGTCAATGAAGATATAGTTAGTGATAGAGATAGATAGAGATAGAGTTATCGACTTCGACATGATCATTAGTAATACCATCTTCAGAAAGAGACAAGATCTGATTACATTCGAGTGTGGGCACAGTGGAAGCCTAATTGACTTCATGTTGTATAACAGATGTGATCGGGTAAAAATAAAAGAATCTAAGCTAATACCTGGAGACCATGTGGCAGCACAACATCGTTTAATAGTAATGGATTTATCTCTCAATTTCGCAAAGGCAGAAAAGAGTTAAATGTGGAGCGAGAAAAATAAAATGGGTCAAACTCTAGGATTATCAGATGAAATCTCAATTTAAGACCCAATCGTTGAGAGAGATTGATTTAATGATCACCGATATTGAGGAATGGTGGAATAGAAATCGTATTAAAAATCGGAAAGGACACTATTAGTGCCAAGAGAAGTGATGTGGAGAAGTTTAAGAGAAAGAGGTGTCCCAGAGATTTATGTTAGGATAATCAAGGAATCGTACAGGAAACGCTACAGCCAAGGTGAGGAGTATAGTTGGAAATACGGGCAGCTTAAAGACCAAAGTTGGACGCCATCAAGGCTCGGCACTAAGCTTATTTCTTTTTAATATTGTGTTTAATGTACTATCGGAAACAGTTAAAAAAAGCACCATGGTGTGTCCTCTATGCGGATGACGTTTTAGTGGCAATGAGTAAGCGAGCTCTATAAACCAAGCTCGAGAGATTGAGGCAAGCTTTAGAGTAGAGGTATGAAGATGAGTAGAAGTAAAATGGAATATATGACAGCAGGGGTCAACAAGACACAATACAGTTAGATATGGTGAACACAAAGAGAGTGAAACGTTTTAAATATCTGGGAGCAATGACAGAACCATCAGGAGGAATGGGTAAAGAAATAAACCACCGTATTCAACATGGATGGAACTGGAGGAAAGAAACGGGTGTGATATGTGACAGAAGAGTGCCAATACGATTGAGGGGAAAGGTCTACAGAGCCGACAATGATGTATGAGTTGGAAACAGTTGCACTCAAGAAGTAGAGGAAAAGAAACTAGATGTTACAGAAATGAAGATGCTAAGATGGATGTCTGGAGTGACACGGTTCCGCAGAATGAGGAACGAGTTTATGAGAGGATTGGTGAAGGTAGTCGAAATATTGAAAAATAGGCAGGAGACGAAAATGAGATGGTTTGGAGATCTGATGAAAAGGAATGATGAAGAACACATAGGAAGAGAAGCGATGGATATGGAAATAACGGAGAAGGGGAAGACCAAGAATCAGATGGAAAGGTTGTGCAAATGCAGACATGAGAGAGAGAGATCTCGATCAATGAGATGCTCAGAACATAACTATCTGGTGACAAGCTGAGAATATATATACATATATGTATATATACCTACATATAGATAGATAGATAAAGAGAGAGAGAGAGAGATGTCTACACACACACACACACACACACATACATATATATACATATATATATATATATAAATATATATATATATATATATATATATATATATATATATATATATATATATATATAAAGACACACACACATAAACACTACACACACAAGCAAACAAACAAACAAACAAACAAACAAACAAACAAACACACACACACACACACACACACACACACACACACACACACACACACACACACACACACACACACACAGATGCTCAGAACAGAACTGGTGACCCCGAATAGAGACAAGCTGAGAAGAATATATATATATATATATATATATATATATATATATATATATATATATATACATATACATATATATACATATGTGTATATGTACGTATGTATGTATATAGAGAGAAAGATGCATGCATACATACATACAGACATGCACACATATATATGTATTTGTGTATATATACGTACGTGTATGTATATATGTTTATGTATGTATATACATACATACATACATACATACATTATATATATATATATATATATATATATATATATATATATATATATATATATATATATATATATATAAGTATATATATTATGAAAAGGAGGACCAGGACAGCAGAATACGTTTCCCCCGTGGAACATCTATCGTGGAAATAAGTATATATATGTACATATACGTACTCAGACCCGATCATTAAGGACTCACGCGTTTTTCACAGTTCCTCTGACCAGGCCTTTTCGTCCTCGCGCCGCTCCACTATAGTGTCTTTTTCCACTGAAGGTGTCTTAAAACATAATTATGGGTAGTTGTTGGCTCTCTTTTTTTTTCTTTTTTTTTCTTCGATTATATTTGAGAATTCTTGTGAAGCTCGCTGAAGTTCATTGGCCATTCTCATCATGGTTGCCAAATAATCAAGTGTTAGTCCATCCTCCTCGTCTTTAGCCACACTTGTGTCCTTTTCTTCCTCTTCTCCCCCATCCTCGCTTGGTGGTTTTGTCATCTCCGCCAGGTCTTAATCAGTCAGCAGTTATGAGTGGGCATCAAGAAGGGCATTAATGTCATCAGCAGTCATATCATTAACGCCATCTCCCCCAAGCTGTTTACCCAGATTCACAGCGGTATCTACCGCAGTGATGGATCTCATCAAGAGAGCGTCCGGTAGGGTTGTGCACTGCCTCTGGTAACAGTTTTTTTTTCCAGCAGGCATTTAATGTTTCAGGTTTCATCTCCTGAATGACCCTCTGGATATTTTGGAGACATGACATGACTTGACATGCAATGGTGCCAGTAGGCTTTTAATGAGAAATCTTGATGTAAGCTCATGGCCTCAACACTATAGTGCAGGGTGTTGCGCGTATAAAGAGCCTTGGAAGCGCGGATGATGCCTTGGTCCATGGGCTGAATCAGCTATGTAGTGCTTGGTGGCAGAAATTCGATTTGCACACCGCCATACGACAGATCATCAGCGTGGCCTCCGGCGTTGTCTGCGAACAGAAACACGTTAAATTCTTGTCCCTTTCCTCTCAAATAACGCTTGACCTCTGGAATGAAACACTGTTTGAACCAATCCACATTGAGCGCTATTTGTCATCCAAGCCTTTGAATTGTGCATCCAGTAAACAGGCGACGCATTCTTATTTTTGTTTCTTAGGGCTCTAGAATTTTT